ATTCCTACCCTTGTTTCTCTTATTCTGATTAAACTCTGACTGATAAAGTACTGATAAGAAGCCACTGGACATCTTCTACTATGAAGAGAGTATCTGTCTTTGACATCAGACTGAAAAGGCACCTCAACAATTATGCTCCTTTTTGAAGGTAGTTTGACAAAAGTGAAGAATATTCATGTTTCTGAAATGGAAATGCAGTAGTGTGCCATAAAAACACAGATTTTTGGAATATAAATTTCATTTAAGATTGTATTTGTAAAGGCCATATTTTTTTCACTCTTAAATGTTTTGGGGCAGATAACATTACTAGTAAATTCTACCAAACACCTAAAAAAAAATTAACACCAATCCTTAATAAACTCTTAAAAAACAAAAAGGGGAGAACACCTCACATTTCATTCTGTGAGGCCAATATTACCTTCATATGACAGAAAAAAAAATCTTGGTGATGCTCCCTGCTGAAGTTATGGTCAAATACATTTGGGATTTAAAAAGAAACTGGCTAGGTGAGAAAGGTACTTAGTGAATGATGCTCCACAGTTTGAACATGCCAGTAGGATATCCTGGAGTAAGTCGTTGAGAGATGAACGCTAAATTTGCTCTTTATTTTAAAATTAAACACTAATAATTTAACAATTTCATCTTGGTTCATTAATTTTATTAGGATAAGTTATAGTAATATAACCAGGAAATGGTTTTTAAAACATGAGATGTATTTTTAATAAATGGAAAAACACGCACTGATGGGCACACGTAGGGAAACAGATCTACAGTGACGGTGCGGGGGGCAGGTTTCTTTTTGTAACCTGCATGGACCCGCAGCCTGGGGCAGCCCAGCAGTAACACCTCCTCCCAGTTTGTCTTCCTTTTCTTTGTGTATGAATGGGATGGAAAGAAATGCTGAGTTTTGTTGAAAATTAGAAGAAATAAGTATTTAGATGCTTATCTTTATAGATATATTAAAAAAATTGGGAAATTAGTTTGAAAACTTGCTCTTTGACTTAAATGTGTGCTGGCTGAGGCAGAGGAAAATGAAGAATAGATTTTCAACTTAGTGGGATCACTTTTTAAAATAGAGTTGAAAAAATAGAAACATTTCAAATAAACAACCTAACCCTACAGTTTCAAGAACTGGAGAAACAATAAACAAAACCGTGCAAGTAGAAGGAAGGAAATAATCAAGATCAGAGCAGAACTGAATGACATAGTGACTAAAAGAACAATTCAAAGGCTCAATAAATCCAGGAGCTTGTTCTTTGAAAAGGTAAGCAAAATCAACAAGCCCTTATGCAGACGCATCAAGAAAAGAAAGGAGAGGACCCAAGTAAATAATATCAGAAATGAAAGAGGAGAAATTACAACTGATACTACAGCAATACAAAGGATTGTAAGAAATTACTCTGAACAGTTATATGCCAAACAACTTGAAAACCTGGATGAAATGGACAAATTTTTAGAAAAATATAACATTCAACACTGAATGAAGAAGAAGCAGAAAGTCTGAACAGACCAGTAACTGTTGGTGAAATTGAAGCAGTAATAAAAAAATCTCCCAGCACACAAAAGCCCTGGACTGGATGGTTTCACAGGAGAACTTTAAAAAATATTTAAGAAAGAGCTAACCCCTGTCCTTCTCAGACTATTCCAAAAAATCCAAGAAGAGGGAAGACTCCTAAACTCTTTTTATGAGGCTAGTATCATCCTAACCCCAAAACCAGATAAAGACACAACAAAAAAAGAAAACCACAGGCCAATATCTCTGCTGAATATAGATGCTAAAATCCTTAACAAAATATTGGCATACTGCATCCAGCAATATATTAAAAAGATCATCCACCATGATCAACTGGGATTCATCCCAGGGTTGCAAGGATGGTTCAATATTCACAAATCAATAAACATAATACATCACATAAACAAAAGGAAAGATAAAAATCACATGATCATATCAATAGATGTAGAAAAAGCATTTGAAAAGGTATAACATCCATTTATGATAAAAACACCCAGCAAACTGGGAATAAAGGGGGCATACCTCAATATAATAAAGTCCATATATGAAAAATCTACAGCCAACATCATACTCAATGGGCAAAAACTAAAAGCTTTCCCACTAAGATCAGGAACAACACAATGATGTCCGTTTTCACCACTTCTGTTCAACATAGTATTGTAAGTCCTACTCACACAGTGATCAGTCAAGGAAAAGGAATAAAAGGCATCCAAATTGGAAAGGAGGAAGTAGAAGTCATTTTTTACAGATGACATGATAGTGTACATAGAAAACCCTATAAACTTCACCAAAAAACGACCCGACCTAAAAACTGAATTTGGCAAAACAGTGGGCTACAAAGTCAATATTCAGAAACTGAAGGCATTTTTGTACACAAACAATGAAATTCAGAATCAGAAATCAGGAAAAAAAAACCTACTTGTTATAGCAACAAGAAAAGTAAGGTTCCTAGGAATAAATTTAACCAAGGAGGTAAAAGACCTGTACTCAGAAAACTACACAACCCTGAAGAAAGAAATTAAGGAAGACACGAATAGTTGGAAGCATATACCATGTTCATGGATTGGAAGAATTAACATCATCAAAATGTCTATACTACCCAAAACAATTTATAGATTCAACGGAATCCCTATTAATATACCAATGACATAGGACATTTCAAAATTTTATATGGAACGACCCTGAACAGCTGCAGCAATTTTGAGAAAGAAGAACAAAGTAGGAGGGATCACAATACCTGACATCAAACTATATTACAAAGCCACTGTAATCAAAACATTCTGGTACTGGCATAAGAACAAACATATAGATCAATGCAACAGAATAGAGAGCTAAGAAATAAACCCATGTATCTACGGTCAATTAATATTTGACAGAAGTGGCAGAAGCATAAAATGGAGTGAAAATAGACTCTTCAACAAATGGTTTTGGGAGAGCTGGACAGCTACATGCAAAAAAATGTAATTTGACCATCAAAGTACACCATACACAAAAAATAAACTCAAGATGGATAAAAGACTTAAATATAAGCCATGACACCATAAAAGTTCAAGAGGAGAACATAGACAGGAAACTCTTAGATATTCCACGCAGCAATATTTTCACCAGTATGTCCCCTAGAGCAAGGAACATAAAGGAAAGAATAAACAAAAGGGACTTCATCAAAATAAGTAGTTCCTGCACAGCTAAAAACATCAGCAAAATGAAAAGGGAACCAAACATATGGGAAAATATATTTGCCAATGACACCTCAGACAAGGGTTTGATCTCCAAAATATATAAAGAATTCACATGACTCCACTCCAGCAAGACAAACAATCCAATTAAAAAATAAGTAAAGGACCTGAACAGACACTTCTCCAAGGAGGACATACACAGGGCCCAGAGACATATGAAAAGATGCTCAGCATCACTAGCCATCAGAGAAATGGCAAATTAAAACCATAATGAAATATCACTTCACACCAGTCAGAATGGCCATAATAAAACCAACCAACAAATGACAAATGCTGGTGAGGTTGTGGAGAAAAGGGAACCCCAGTACACTGGTGCTGGGAATGCAGTCTGGTGCAGACACTGTGGAAAAGTTTGGAATTTCCTCAAAAAGGTAAAAATGGAACTTCTTTTTGACCCAGCAATTCCATTGCTGAGATTGTACCCTAGGAATCCTGAAACACCAATTCAAAATAACCTAGACACCCCAATGTTCATAGCAGCACAATTTAGAAGAGCCAAGTATTGGAAACAGCCTAAGTGCCCATCAATAAGCGAGTGGATCAAAAAACTATGGTACATTTACACAATGGAATACTACGCAACAGAAAGAACGAAGGAACTCCTACCCTTTGCAACAGAATGGATGGAACTGGAGAGCATTATGCTAAGTGAAATAAGTCAGGTCATGAAAGACAAATACCATATGATCTCAGCTATACTTGAAGCCTAATCAACAAAACAAACAAGAAAACTATAACCAACAACATTGAAAAAACAAGCCAACAGTAACCAGAGTGGAGGGGGGAGGAAGTTAACGGGGAAAAGTAAGGGAAGGATCAAGTAAAGGAACATGTATAAAGGACCCATGGACAAAGCCAAAGTGGGGATTTAGGGTGGGGCAGGGGAAAGTGGTGGTGGGAAAATGGAGACCAATGTATTTAAACAATAAAAAAATAAAAAACAATTAAAGTTGAAAATATTCTAACAATAGCTAAAACATGGGTTAAAATGATGAATCACTGCTTTTCCTAAGGATAAATACTAATTCTCAAAGGTGGCTTATTTAAAACATTTTATGGGTGAATTCTTTATGAAAGTAGAATCATAAAGGCTTTCACTGTGTGTTATAAGATTGCAGTATAATTAAAGTGTGAGAATTGTGAAGAGTTGACTTTATTGACAGTGAAATTCTGGAAACTTTTAATTCAATTATGTGTGATAAAAATTAGTCCACATATTTGTTTTTCTTCAAAGGGCTCTTCGACCATTTTTCTCTTAAGACAATAAAAGACGTTTCATGGCATGAATCACTTGATTTTTCAACTAAAAGGTGCTTAACAAAATTTCTTCCAGTGTTCTAGTCATTTGCCTTATGGATAGGATTATGCTTATAATTTGCAAAACAGTAAAAAATATACTATTCCAATTTGCATGCACATTTTTAAGCAGATTCACATTCTCAAAATATGGTGACACTATGACAAGAGAAATTACAATGTAAATTGAGGTTGGCTCAATTTTATAAAATAAGTACATCAGTACAGTTGTGACTATATAAGGAGAACTTTTGTTTTTCCCAATAGCATGATTAAAACATTTAAAATTTTGTTCATTTATTCAACAAATATTTATTGAGCCTGCTATGTGCTGGCACTTTTTAAAGTACTTGGCATAATCAGTGAACAAAAATTCCTATTTAAGAGCTATAAAAATTTCACATTAACCACCCCCCCCCCCCACCAAATTTAAAGAACTTTAGACACCACCAGAGACCTTTGGACAGTTATTTTCTCTGCTATTAGAAAATGTTCTGGAAACATTCAAGAAACACTGATCTAGATGTTTTCTTACTTTCTGTAAATACCTAGGTCGTTACTTTGAGAACCCGAATGCTGTTTGAGTGTGGAAAAAGTGAGCTGATGGAACTGGGTGACCTGGAGAGCTCTGTGTGATACAAAGCAGTCGGGGCACCTTTGGTTCCCATGACAGAAGGAAATAGTCCTGTGTCCAGAAATTTCATGTTCTCAGACCCTGTGCTTTTCCACTAGATAGCAGAGGATCAACACTGGATATTCCTGTTCTTGGGGTATCTTTTTCCCCACTCCATGCAGCCCATTTCTTTTTCATTCAGATAGAGCTCAGAGTAGTTGAATAAGTCCCACCTCCTTAAGTTATAATCATGTGACATTTCTTTTTCTTTGACACTATATTTTATTCTCAGATGCAATTTGAGTTTCCTCTATGCTGACCCACTTTATATATAAAATTTTGTGTGATATCCTAGAATCTTCTAAAAATGGACTTATTTTACTTTGTGTTTGTTTTTAAGTTTTTATTGGAGAAAAATACCACTTTCAATGTCTGGGGTGTCTAATTTTGCTCTTATGTTCTATTACATGAAGGTAGAGATGGCTTATTTTATTTATTCGGTTATTTAGACAAAATTTTAGATTCTGGTGATAGTCACAAGAAAATGACAATAACCGAAGTTGAAGAGTATCAGTCTGCACCTCATCATCTTTGCCTGTCTTTTTAAATTCCCCAAAGTGAGGTCCTCTGATGGCCCCCTATCAATGCTAGTTCCTAAAGATATTCCAGACAAGAGCTCAGGCTGCACTGACCCTCCACTTATTTCAGCCAAAAAATGGGTCCTTCACTTGCTGACCAACTCTTCTTGGCTCCTAACTGCAGTAATGATCTGGTGTGCCAGGGAAGACGTCTCCATTTTTACTTCGGGTAAAAATTTCTCACCCTACTTCTAGCTGCATCTCCTAACTTTCTTTCATGCTGGTTCCCAGGACTGGGCTTCTAAAGCTAGTCTCTTGTTTTGGCCACTTTCTTTCCCTGAACACTTCATTTCTACCCTTGCCCTGGATCTAGTGTCTGGTCTCGGCTACTTTATAAAGTTTCTCTTTGAGAATGACCACCTGCCTAAATTCTGAGCATGGGAAACCCTGGAATCCTTGATGTGGTGCTTTTCCAAGGCCCTTGATTTTCCTGGGAGAGTCTAGTATTTGTTTTTGCTGAGTTAAATTCACTTAGCTTTCGTTCTCTGGGCTGCACAGCCACCAGCTTCCTTTGTAACAGGTGACATGCTTGGTCTCAGCTTCTCTCTCCTGGAATTTCCTAAGAAGAACCTATATTCCCAGTGGTCTACCTTTTGAGTATTAACATTTTGAGGCCATTGTCTCCTTTCACTCCTACATGTAACTTCCTTTAAAAAATAATGTAAGTAGTCCTCTGGCTTTCATCGAAGATTAACTATTTCACTCCAGATATTATTAACTAAAAGAATCATTTACTGAGTTAATTATAACACAAAGTATCTTGCAAAGATTGAAATAAAAGTATATTTTAGGAGAAGTTAGCTTGAAATGTGCACATTGAGTTTAGACTTCATAAAAACTTTCAGCTTTCCTGAAGACCAGTATAGAAAAGGAAGAAAATCAAAATATTCTGTTTACAGATGCCACAGCAAGTGTTTCCATGCCTATTTTATTTGGTACCTTCCAATGACTGAAGAAGATATCAGTATCAAGTAGTGGTTTGTCACAAATTTGCCTAAAAATAATTTAAAAAATCTTTGTAGGGAATCAGATTGTCCTTTTTTTAGGTCCAGATATTTTCTCAGGATGACATGGGGTCTGACTAAATCCCCTATGTAGAAGAAAATCATGTTTTGTGTATGATAATCTTGTCATCTTCATTGTCTATGTAAAAACAAATAAAAGTTATAATTTTTGTTTGAGTGAATTACGCAAACATAATTTATATTTTTATATTTGGCTTTGACATAAGGCCATACAGAGAACCTGTGCAAATGCTGTGCAGCGCACACCCCTGCACGCACACATACACAGGACCTCAAGCTGTCTTCTCTGCTGCACTCTTACTCCTTTCTGAGATAACTTGTACTATTAGCAATCCTCATTTGAAATAACGTATGGTTTTCCCTGCAAAAGTCTGCTAGGGAAAACTTCGATTAACAAAAGTGATTGCAGTCAAACATTTCTAAAATGTTTACAAATTCCTTAAATCCAGCAATGATGCATTTAAGGGTATGGTGTCGGGAAGAAATTGCCCATCCAAAGTAGAAAAGTACTGGTTAAAAATCCCAACACATCAAAAAATGTTTTTCAAGGATCATTTTCATTCACATGAGTTTTTTCCATAAAAATTTATAAAATACTCTAAAAGAGAACATTCACATAATCTTTGTCTCAGTTTCTTCATCTTTACAATCAAGGAGTTTGACTAGATGCTTTTTTATAGCTCTGAAGTCCTATGATTTTAGTCGATATGAGATGTTAAAATGTGTCCCACTGTTTAAATCAATTGGTAGTAGAAAACGTGGCTTAACATTATGAAGACTGATCTATAACTTTTAATTTACAGATCACAAAGTCAAGTTCCAGGGAAGTAATATGACAACCCAATGACACCCATCCACTTGGGTATCAATGCTATTTCTTCCGCATCTTCCTACTCATCTAATATTTTGCTTTTTGTCTTGTTTTGTTTATTAAAAGCTTCATATTCCAACTCCACACCCCCGGAAAATCTTCTTTAGCAATCATGGGGTGAGGTCAGTAATCTAATTTTGTAGAAGGGATCCTCAATATTCTGACTTGTGGTTAAAGGTCAGAACCACAGATCCCCATCAGACTACCCAGCATACAGCGATGTAGAGGAATAGGTAGGTCACAAAGTTCTTGGGCAGGCTCTCCAACATTGCCCAACAGCATCTTCCTAACACATCCAAGATATTATGCCAAAGGCTACCACCTCCCTAGGGTATTCTCCCTTAGAGGTGAGATGTATATAATATGAATGACATCACTTGGTGCCTAGATTACTTTGCTCTGATAGGCTTCCTATGGAAAAGGATATTCTTGAAAGAAACAAGAATGAAAAGAGTGGATCGATAGCCCTTACTTTCCATCTGCTCCAACCTCACACTCTAGAAGTTACTTCAGCTCAACTCCTGGAAACTCCCTTACTGAAAAGCGTAAAATTGTCCACCTCCATACAACAGTCTTGAGCCTGTTAAGGCAGTCTGGGATTTGGAAATTATTTACTTGGTGTATTATGAAGTGAATTTCTGTAAATTGTTAGAATGTATCATACAGAGAAGGCTCTTTGGATACCTTTGTCATAAGAATTTCTTAACCTTTTTGGTAGTAAAGGCAAAGCTTGAATAGGCTTGGTATCTAATACCATAGTTGGTTTTATACAGAGACAACGGAGAGCAAAATTGTTTCTAGGAGATGCCATGTAGATTCTAAGCACCTCGACATTCATTTTTTTGTGTCAGTTCTCAATATAGACTTTATGTGTTTGCTGTTTGCACATTTGTGGCCAAAATACATGTTTCTGCCCTTATACTATTCGTGGGTACCAAAGTTCAGTTTAAGGCATTTTTTTTATGTAGCACACTGTAAGAAATACATAAGAAACACCATTCCTCATCTTCCTTGTTCACAAAAGTAAATTATTCTTTTATCTAGTAATTTTAGAAAAAGAAAAAAGTAAATGACTTACCTCTAAATACATATGACTCCAAATAAAGCAGCTGAACTCAAGCTTACAAGTATAACAAAAATAGAATTTGACATAATTTTCTTCTTATATCCCATTTAAAGAATGTAATTGAATTTGACAAAATAAATTCATTTTTAAGTCATGCTGTTTATAAGGCAGTCTCATGATACTGTCTCTGAGGATCAAATATACATTTAAAGCCATAATAGACTACCAAATGATATATAAAAGCTTTTGTGAACATTTTATGTCTGCTTTAGGAGGCCGATCTATCAAACCTGTGACAATTTTATTTATTTAAGAGTGAAACAGGAGATCGATGGTTCTATCCTAAAATGAGTGAAGAAATTATTTATGAGTTGTATATAGGAATCTACCAATGTTAGATATGTGTATAATTCTTATTTTTGAAAATGGTTGGGGTCAAGAAAGTGGTTAGTTAATATATGTACCTCAAATGCTTTAAGTGGATACCTATGAAAAGGTATACAAAATATAAATAGTACCATATATTTTCAAAAATTTAAAATAAACACAAAGAATGTGTAGGTATACATGTTATAATTTCAAAGTCAACACTAGCACAAAAGTTTTCTTATCTAAATACATACTAGGATACTTCCTATTTCAACACATGCACCTGCAAACAAATGGCCATGCACATAACCTTGCTTTCTGCCACTTGCAAGAAAGTTAGAATTTACAATATAGTACATTGTTTCAACTTAAATTGTATTGGCAAATTAATGAGGATGGCATTAAAAAGTCTTATCTAAGAAATCAACAGACAGGAATTATTCCATAGATTAAAAACACTGAAGACTGATGGAAGTTAAGATTTAAATTGCTTGTCTCATTGATCTTGACAGATACAGAAGAGACAGGATGGCCTGTAAACTCTCAGAATGCTCTGTGTGACAGTTGGGATTTTGGAAATCTAGCAATCCAGGCCAGAGACACAGACCACTGATGCTTCAGATCGCAGAGAAATAGTAGAGCAGGGGGCAGCTCTCCGCAAGGCAGGGGGCGCCGATGGAGATCTCGATGCCCATCTGGATGGGAGACGGCGATTTGCTGGTCTAGCCGGTCGGGAAAATCCTTTTCCATGTGAAGATTTCACTGCCATGGATTCCTAAGACAAAAGAAGACATTCCTCTCACTATGTCAGCGCCAACAATGGGCTTAATATTTTATGAATCCCAACAATGGCTTCAATGTATTAGCATATGTATGAGCAAGAAGGAGCATCGCAAACTAAAAATATCTGTCTAATATTTGTGGTCTTGAATGTTTTAATCAAGGAAATTTTAATATGGGATACGGTATTTAATTATCTTTTCACATTGACATTTTAACACAACTAGTCTCTTTTTAGAACTAATTATAAGTTCAGTATTCAGTAGTTCATGTTAGATAACTTTCATATAATGGAACTGCAGGTGTTTCTTGGTGATATTTTATAATATTTTAAGTGTTATTTAAAAACAGATAATTTATAGAAGAAACAATTTGACATTTTTAAAGAACATAAGCAAAAGCACACAAACCATCAAATAATTTCTCTGATGCTCTTTTCCCCCACTAAGAACTAGTGTTACTACCTCTCAAAAATTTTGAAATTGCTAATAGTTACTATCAATATTGGGCATCACTTGATGATTCCATTTTTTTCTTTCCCTTTCTTTCCCTTTCATTTCTCCCTTCTTTTCCTTCTTTTCATTTTAAAGAAGAAAAGCATTTTAAGACCCTTGCAATTAAAAAGTGCATGTGACCCATTTTATACCTTTGGTTGTTACCGACCTTTTTAAGAAAACCTTTGCTCTTTTATCTGGGATAGGCAGTGAAGATGACCTCATTTTCTGTGACAGTATCCTTCCTTTTCTTTTTCTTTCTTTGGAATCTTATATTTTAGAGGGAAGGGGGATGAAGAAGTACTTTTAAGGACCTCTCCCAAATCTCCAATCAGTGCAAAAATAAGGAATATTTATTAGTAATAGTTCTTGCTAGTTAATGAGAATTTGGCTGGATATTGTATACATGTTTCTATTTCCCACCTGAAGCTAAAGGACCTTACAGGTATTTATGGGCTCAGCTGAAAACAAATGATACATGTGCACCCCTATGGTCATTGCAGCATTTTACAATAGCCAAGCTGTGGAAGCAGCCCAAGTGCCTCTCAACAGATGAGTGGATAAAAAAATCTGTGGTACATGTAATGTATATACAATAGAATATTCCTCAACCATAAAAAAATATGAAATTTTACCCTTTGCAACAGCATGGATGGACCTAGAGTACCCTAAGTGAAATAAGTCAGTCAGAGAAAGACATATACCTTATGATTTCACTCATATGTGGAATCTAAAGAAAATATAAATGAACAAACAAAACAGGAACAGACTCACAGATGCAGAGAATGGGCTGATGGTTGCCAGAGCAGGAGGGGTTTGGGAGACTGGGTGGAAAAGGTAAAGAGATTGGGAAGTACAGATTGGTGGTTAGAAAATGGTCATGAGGATGTAAAGTACAGCAGAGGAAATAAAGTCATTAACATTGTAATAACAATGTATGGTGCCAGGTGGGTACCAGGAATGTCAGGAGGAACATTTTACAAAGTACATGATTGTCTAACCACTATGCTGTATGTTGGAAATTAATAAAAAAAATATTGGTTGTAAGCTGTAATTGCAACAAATTAAGAAATAAATGAAAAAAAAAAGAAAGCTACAAAAGCAGGATAATTATGTGTACTTTGTGCAAACTTGCACAAGGTTTCTGACAAAATGCATGAAAACTGATATTTATTTAGGGTTTGAAAGGCACATAAAATTTTTTTTTTTACATCAGAAAGAAGCAACCTGGATAGCTTAAAACTATGCTGCATACATACTGATTTACGTAAGACAAGGATTTTTGAAGCATTAGCTAATTATAACAATGTAACCTTGTAAGCTTCTGTGAATTATACATAATAGGGTATGGATAGCTTTTCATTGTAAATACCAACCTCTTCTACCTCTTTTCTGTCTATAACTAAAAAGATCACACTCTTGAAAACTGCCTGAAAAGAAAGGACAACCTTTTATACAAATACTAATTTTTTGGCATTTTCATGCTAAGAATTTATACAAATAAGAATGACCTTAAAATTGTTTAAGCTGTAATATCACTTTTTACTTCAATGTATATTGCCTGTTAGCTACATAAATAAGGGAACTTTATAAGGCACTATTTTAAATGATGTGTTTTACCTATATTTGTTATTTATGTGACTAAACCCATGAGAAAAAACATGAATCAAATACAGAGAATGAACCATTAAAAGTTAATAACTGAGAAGTGGAAGCTATTTTTTAAATATTTCCCACATGCTTTTAAGAACATAAATACTTCAAAAGAATAGAATTCTTAAGTCAACAAATGCATATTCAGGGTACTTTTTCAAGAAACTTACAACATTTGACCTTCTTGCAGTTCTTCAGCTTGCTTAATATATTTATGGTACCTTATTTTGGAATTTTGAAAGAAAAGTTATAATGTGCTAACCCCAGTCTTAAAACTCCACTTTAACAAGTTCACGCTGAGTTACATTCCTAAGGATTATAGTTGTTCAAAAATGAAGGATCAAAAAGTTAAGATGTCAAAACATAAGCCTGCATTTTATTTATATGAATTCAAGGGACTGAACTGAGCCATGGCTAAACATGAATGAACTTCTCTGAAAATATGTTAACTGCTTTCTCACCTCTGTTATCTTTTTCCAATCTATTCCTTGCTTCCCTTGCTGTGCCCGACACATAGCTGTTTTTCCTTGAAGCTCTTGTTCTGTTTGGATTATTTTTAAATGCTGACCTAATGTATCCCCAACACTGACATCAGAATTACATTTCGGCCAATTATCCTTGAAGCATTTAGAATTTTGCAGTACGGACCCTGTAGATGTCTCATAGGTTTTCAGCAGCTTTTCCACAACACCATAATTTGACCTAGGATCTGCTGATCTTGGTCGGCCAGACAAATTACTGGGTCTCCAGTCATGCTCGTGAAGCATATTCCAATAACTGCTAGGACTTAGGTGTTCCTGCATTTGTCTGTCTAGGCCTGTTGTGGATTTATTGGTGGGATTATCAGGCATATTTTCTCTAGGCACAGGCATGTGGGCACCGGTTTTCAGAGTATCAGACACACTGTCATTTTCTGGTATGTTGTCCATGTGAGTAATCAAGGTATCACAAGGCTTAAGATCTTGAGATGATTCTGAGTAGCTTTGATTTTGCTGCATTATGCGACAATTTCTGTCTGTTCTAAATACAGTTCTATTAAATTCATCAGTCTTTGCTGCCAGCTTTTCATTCCTCGTAGTCCTTTCAAAGCCACAGCTGAAACTTCTAAGTGGGAAACTGCTCGTTGTCACCAAGGAGCTACAGTCATTGCTTACACAAAGGCCAGAATGAGATTTAGCAGGGTGATCTGGGATCATCTCTCCATATACTGACTTATCAGGAGTAGGACAGGTTTTCTGAAGCCACAAGGTAGAGGGGTTATTTTTCATGCCTATCACAGTGTCGCATGACCACATGCCTAATCCAACATTTTCTTTGCATGGAGGTTTGTTATCTATTTTGGCTTCTGGTGCCAAAGAAGAAAACATGGTAACATTTTTCAAAATTTTCCCATCATTTAGACACAATGTAGGCATCTCATCATGCCTCAGAAGGACGTGAGGACTGCAGTTCCTTTCACCTTGACCCTCTTGGACCCCCTGGCTGTTGTGATTTAAACTTTCCTTCCGACTTTCACGGGCTTGTTCAGGATATGAGCTGGGAAGATTGCGAGATGTGCTTCTTGGAGGGGGCACTGGTGGGGTTTCATTGCTTTGCAGATCAATTGTATGAATTCCACATTTTTTCATAGAAGTGCTTTGAAGCATATTAGTATAGCTCAGATTCTTTCTGTTTTTCTGCTTTTCTTTTTCAAAATTTATTGGAAGAATGCACTGGCCATTGTTGATCATGTGGTCTCCATGAGGCACGTTATTTACATTGGGCCCTTCCTGGAGAAAAGAATCTGACTTCATCCTAAACAATGATAAAACATATGATATATTAGTGATAGCTTTATTTAGGATAAGCTATTCAAAAAAAGATGACTTAAGCAATGGATTTCTGCTACTGGAAAAGGAATCACAACTGCCTGCAGCATTGTTATTATATAAATTCCTTAGTCAAAACCTCCAAGTCTTTTTCACTGTTGAACAAAGCCTACCTCTTAGTGCTGCATTCAGGGATCTGCATACTTGGACTCAAACCATCTTTCCAACCTCGACTTTCATTTTTCTCTATCACCTAAAACTTCACCTATATTCAGACTAGATCATGTATAGTATCTGATGTGTCTGCTATTAACATTCCCATTTCTACATATTTTTTCTAATCATTTCCTTACCTTCACTCTGCCTACTGAATTCCTATTCATTATGTCATGCGAGATTAAGTTTCTCCCCTTGAATTTGAAGTAACATTCTAACTGATATAACCAAAACCTGAATAAAAGTGCGAAAAGACATGAGTAATACCAAACAGAAGGTATCATTTGAAAGAAAAGTATGAGTTTTTTTGATGAGTAAAGGGCAGGTAGGCAAAGTCAGCTGCAGTAAAAGCAGTGTTGCTATTCAAGGAACAGCAAGCACTATGGTATGGATGGGTTATAAAGCAGAGTGGAGAGGATAATGGAAAACAAGTGAGAAACATGAGATAATTGCAATGTCTTTGAATTACATATTAAGAATTTTGAACTTCTTCCTAAAGGCCATGAAGTAACAAAAACTTTATACTTCTCTGAGTTCAATAAATACAAAAACCAAAATATAACAACAATGGGGATTCTCAAATTAAACTAATTATATTGATAAATATAAGTCCTATTTATATCTTTTCAACTTATGAAATAGTATGTGCTAGCTCACAATAAAGTACAGGTAAATGGTCATTAACAGAGAATAGTAGACAAAAGTTAAATGGACAAGTAGAGGACAAGATTATGGAAAAAACATGATTGTATAAGAAAATATATTTTAAGTACAAAAGTTCTCTGTGAGCTTCCTAAGAGCTTAAAAAAAAGGGCACACATTGGTGTAGCTTTATAAGAGAAGAATCCTGCCTCACCAGGAGACAAATGTTCATCCAAGGGCAATCCATTTTTACTTGTAGAAAAATTCAATTTATTTCTTAATTTGGCTCAAACTTACTTTTTTTTTTTTTTTGAATTGAAACACTATTTTCATAGTGTTGTATATATGTGTGTACACATTTCCAATATGTTGTTCTGAAAATGATGTATGTTTCCATTATACACATAATAAATGTATAGAAATAAATGACCCTTATGTATCAAACATTTCAGTGGAATATCATTATATAAGTAAAACATTACAGTGTTAAATCTGACATAGTTTAAAGATGCATTTAACTACATTAACCCAGTTGTATACTCTTCTACTGACTAAATACTCAAAATTAAAAAAAAACTTCATTAGAATATATTTAACTTACTATGAATGGTATACATTAAATGACCACCAAAAGAATAAAGTATTCCTAATAGTCAAATTACAAAGAGAAGTAGATTTGTTTTAATTAGAGAACAGAGAAATATTCACTGAAAGATTATATCTCTTATCTAAAAACAGATTTTAATAATTCATTGTTAATTATAACTAACAAAGTATAAGGAACTCACTAACTAAATACAGTATTTTTTTATTTTTTCAACATAAAATAATCATAGATGTACCAGCCTACCTTCTGTGGTTAGACCGCTTTCGAATTTCCTCTTGAAAGCTGCATAATTCTTCACTGACCTTGGCAAGTTCTTCAAGAGCCTTTATATATATATATAAGTAATAATGTGTTAGGACTTGAAAATGTAAACAATTCTTTGGAAACAGTTTTAGGCCAGCCACGTCTTACTTACTGTGTTGAGGGCACCGGAGCAGCCCTTGCTCGCTTCCTCAGGGGTCCTCGGGTCGGGCCAGGCCCCACATTCCTTTTGGTTGTCTGTGGCCAAGGGGTCCATAAACCCTACCTTTGATGTTTTGGTTGCTTTTTGTTCCTTCAACATTTGATTTCCTTCACTTAGTAAGCTCTGCTCTGTTTTATTTTCTTCTTCCAGATCATCCCTGCCATTCATCCTTGTAAATTCACATTGTCCTGAATTGGGGTAATTTGGAGAAGATTCCAGCACTTTATCTTGAATGGCCTTCTCATGATCAAGATCAATGACCTTTGCACGTTCACTCCTGTTGATTTTCCTCCGAAGTTTTACTTCATGGCAAAGCTGTAAGGAAAACAAAGATAAGACATTTTCCTCCCTCAGTTCACTTTGTCAGTATTTTTGAAGCTAAGTGCACTGTTTTCAGTTCTTTTTGCCATGATTATATATATAACACTGGGATAATATTCATGCTTATGCCTCTAAATAGTATTTCTAAAGTCTGGATTAGCCAGAACAACTTTGATAAACCATAATGACTACTTTTTATAGGTCAAAGCGTGGATGATAATTTCAGTCTTTCTGAGTAGAAATCAGCTCAGTTTAAAGTAAAATAAACCTGCATCTACATATAGATATTACTAAGACACGGAAGCACTGTCACTATATTGGAATGACCTGAATCAATTACTGACCATGCTCTCTCATTGTCTTTAGAGAGAAGCAATAGTTTAACATTAAATCCATATTTTTAAATACATGATCCTACTTGTATACCAACATTTACTGCCTAAATAGTTGACAATCTCATATAGTCCGTTTATTCTGTCCCCTAAATAGACATTTTGAAATCAAAGGATGTTTCTATTGAAGTTATGGAGTTACGCTGACAAGGTGTAGTTAATATTGAGATTTTTTTAATGCCAGGCTATATAAACATTAAAAAAACGTTTTTCATCCTGATTAAGACAAATGTGACCTTGTCCTATGTGATACAGAAGAACCCTAAGGCTTTGACCATCTATTAGTCTACATTAAAATGGACCCCAAATTATTTCTTGATGAGAATTTAGCCTACAGGCACTTACTCAGCTCACCTCTAAATAGAGGGAGTAAGTGGCTTTCTCTTCTGGCTTGAGTTCTGGGAAAGCTTGTCAAATTTCAAAGGAGACTATCAAATAACTATTAAAGCAAACAACTACATTTTATAGCCAATTGTCTGTATTTGTACTACATCTATTATTTAAGGAATAACAGATTTATTGCTGCTCAATATTTACCTAAATCTCAGATGAGAGAAGCACTATACATAGTTGATGCCTGAAAGCTATACAGTGTACTTACTTCCCTAGATAGTTATGAATCTATCATTGGATGAAGTCAGGATAGCATCAAATTGCAGCCGTGGCCCCAGAAAAATTATTTCTACTGAACTGCTGTGGGCATTATGATTTTGGCTGACCTTGAGGATATTATAAGAAGCAACCCTCAAAAGTACCATGTTAAATCTAAGGATGCTGTTGGCCATGTCTTCTTTTAGAGGAATCATGGGCAAAAAAAAAAATTGCTTTAGTTTGAAAAGTAGGCTATTTCCAGTGCTATTTCTAGAAAACAAGTTTGCTTTTGTTTTCTGACTATTGAGAAATACGTGCTTGATAATTTTTATGTTAGTTACTAAAAAGATAGACTTGCTGCATACATTTTACATGAGACCCTTCCCTTTGTGTTTATCTCACCTTTCTTTTTGTTTTGGCACACTTTATCTTATGTACAATCTTGTATGCTATCAAAAATTCTCTTGGGAGTTTAAGTGAGGTATGAATAAGCAAATATCATAGTGCTATTGATGGAAAACAGTTTATTTTGTATAAGGGAGTCTGGTACCCAGTCCTTGTCCATGGTTATTTAATCATTTGAAGAAAGAAGATAAACAGAAAAGACTGTAATGTGATTAAAAAAGTTCCCAGGCATCTATTACTCCATACAGGGTTTCAGTCTGGATTTTACCCAATTTTAAATGATACAAGTGTATAAATCTTGGTTTTACAATAGCAAATGCAAGGTCTTGGATAGTGGCTTAACAGAGAATCATCAGCATCTTAATATTCAATGCTGGAGCTTCTCACTAGGTAATATTATTACTTGGACTCACTAAAGTTATATGTGTGCTCCTAAAAATAAACATTTCTTTAATACGTGGCTTAAGAATTTGCATATGATTTAATATACAGAATTTAGTGATACATGTTAAACAAACAGTTTATTACACTTGTGGTATGCTTTAATTTTTCCAAGTGTTGATTGATTTTTAACTTTAGTTTAAAACAAATTACCTTGATTCTCTGTGACATGTGAGGATACCTTCTTTCTCTTTTCCTCAATCTATTCTACTCACAGCTGTGTAGCCTATAAGAAGTGATGTGTAAAATATACATTCTTACAGGTTACAAAGCTGGAACTCTAAAAGAAATACATATTTGTATGATGAGGGAAGCACAGCCTTAGTATTCAGAGATTGAAGAGCATCATCTATGAATAATCTGGGTAAGCCCATTTTCTAAACACATTCCCCGGTGCTGGAGCTATACCCTGCAAGCAGCAAGGTGAAGAGAAAACATCACAGCCCTTCTTCTCTCCTTGAAGCAGGAAAGGACAGTATTTTTAGGGACAATCAGCCTAAATTTAAAGTATATTTTATGCCCAAACTAAGCAAACAAGCAGAACAGAAACATAATCACAGATATGGAGAACACTGGGAGGGTCACCAGTTGGGGTGGGGGGTTCCAGGGGGAGGGGTAAAAGGTGAAGCAATTAAGAAGTACAAACTGGTAGTTACAGAATAGGCAGGGGGATGTTAAGAGCACGTGCAGGAAATGGAGTTGCCAAAGAACTTGTATTCATGATCCGTGGACATGAACAAAGGAGGGGAATGGCTGGAGGGACTTGTGGGGGTGCTGTGTAGAGGGGGTCAAAGAAGGAAAAACTGGTACAACTGCAATAGCTTAATCAATAAAAAAATAAAGTATGTTTAATGCTTGCTAAAAGACTAATATTCACTACAGATGAAATCTACAGAACAGTCAGAATTACATATTTTATAGTAAAAAAATTTAACCAGACAGCAGATTGTTTTTTGCGACGTGGCTTAAACCATTGGCTAGACTAATCATGACTCACTTAATTATTTTGCTTGGATGCTAGAGTTATCTGAGACCGTTCCTAACTGGACCTTCCAAGCCTTTGGGAGCCACTGACTCACGACTTCAGGTTTCTGACTGGAGCTGTGTATTCTGATTTGACCTAGATTGTCTCTGGCTGATCCAATCTGTATCTCTGGGTGGAGGAATTCAGAGAGTGAGCAAAACACCTGTTCCAAACTACACAGGGGTGAGCAGTGGATCCTCCTTTCAATCTCTAATCATACACTACATGCCTGCCTTCTCACCTCGACTTTAGAAGAAGAGTTTAATAGCTACTCTTTTGAATTTTTTTTTGTTGCATGCCAATTTGTATTTTATCCACTACCTATTACATGGCTGTTAATAAGAAAAAAATATTTGCACTATAAACACACAAAGCACCAGCTTTGATTGCCTCCGAATAAAGGCCAAGGAGTCTGCTAAAACAATCATTTTGGCAATGTGCACAAAACCATGTAAGTCAATACCATGGATATTACTAGAACAAAGCAAGATAAGTATAAGTAGTTTTCAGCTGGAACAAGCTTGAATATACATCAATGTAAATGCTTAAAGGAATATTATAGGCTCAGCAGGTGGAGGGAAGGTTAATGGGGACTAAATGGCTATTTGTATCAGAGTCATGACGCGTCATTTTCCGTTACCCTTTTCTAATATATGTGCCTGTATGTGTGGCACACCCTACCAGAAAAAGTACCACGTCCACTACCATCTTCTATTTGAGATACGACACTCCTTTTGATTTTACTGAATTATCTAATATGTAATTTCCTTTAGTAGACATTATTCATAAATCACCTCAGGAAAGATCTGCATTTTAATGCTCAGTTGTAATTTTACTAATTTGTTCCACCAATTATGTCTTTCGTACATTTTCCTCCTGGACCTAGTATTTGAAAACTCATGAAAAATTAATGCCTCATTTTTTATTCCAAGGCATTCTAGTAAGAAAATAATAAACTGATACACTTTAGAGTGACATTTGAAGTACTTAATTTTCATGCAAAGCTATAAAATAAACCTAGTCTACATGATAACATCGTCTAAGTTTACACTGTTTTTAGTATAGTAAATGTCATTAAGACATAAATCTCTCAAGTGGAACAGAGAAAATAAAAATAGTCAATAATGCAAAACAAACTTCAACAGCATCTTCATTTTCATTATGAGCTTTAAGATTCCAACGTATTCAAAAAAATCAACTTTACCTCCTCTATCTTCTTTTGCATGATCTTCCACTGGGTCTCCCATTCCTTCCTTTCATTGTCAAACTGGTCCAGCAACTCCATCTTTTCCTTGTGCCAGTCAGTCTCTGGGTTTTCCCACTGCTTATGCAGGTCCATGGCAACCACGTGAGTGTTAGTGAAGGGGTGTTTCTGCTCGTCTCTGCCTTCTAGTTTTTGTTTCCTGGAAGCTTGGAGTTGTTTTATTTGAAGCGGTCTCACTTGCCTTTAAAATAAAGCCTAATATAAACATAACAAGAGAGAGCTCCAAATCCATATGCTTTCTGGAAACATTTTATCATTTTGTCAAGAGCTATCAATATAAACAAACTATAGGAAAACTGGACTCAGAAGAGAAGAGATGACAATTTACTTTAGCAGCAAACACTGTTGTCTAAAGTTTTTCTCCTCCTTTTTAAGGCCAGACAGCAAAATTATAGTGGACAAGATGGTTAAATGTACATGTGAGATATCAGTATTCCTTTAACCAACCACCTAATCCAAATGTAGGATTTTTCATGACTATCTAAGAATAGAAATCTGAAGTTCAAATGGCATAGTCACATCTACACAGCCGTGGCGTGTTCTGCTGCAACACAATCACTCCTGTTCCGATTACGCAACCAGGTTGTTCATCTCTGTGACTTAAAGTCCTGAGACAGCACGGGACTACAGTCTCAATTTTATATTCAGACTTCCAGTCCATGCCACATGCGATTTTTGTATTAGTAAGATCTCAAAGTTGGCAGTCAATCTGAGACTGGTATATTAGCAAGAAACCAAACTAAATCATAAAACAATATTTTCATTATATTACTTCATCAAGTAAAATGTAAAAGCAGCAAAATTATCCTGGGAACCAAATGTTAAAATTTATCCATGTTCTCTTTTCCTTCTAATAGATTATGTACCAGAACCAAGTTAGGATACTGAACACAAAAAAATTAAAGGAAACATTTTGCTTAGTTTGCAGGGAAATCCTTGATCACATTAAGCCGTACCTAAAGTAATTAGATTTTTAGCATTTAGGGTATGTGTATTTAGGGTTTAAAGATGCAACTTAAAATACTGGGTTGGTAACTCTAAGTCATCTAAAGTTTCTGAGATTTAGTTTATTTACATTAAAATAAGGCTATTCACAGAACTGTCCTAAAGATTAAATGACATATGAAATGCAAATATAGTTTGAGGAATTTAAAAAATTAAAAACCTTTCTTTAGAAAATCTTGCTCTAACTTTCACTGGAAATAATTTTTACTAATAAATCATATACCCTTTTAATGGGTAGAGAATATGTTTAAAATGTTTAGATCTCTGTCTAGGATAATGATGCCTACAAGAAATCTTTCCTCTTGGGGTTTCTAGGCCACGACCAAAATGTCTTAACTGAGCAGGTGGCAGTTTATGCTAATTATGAGTAAAGTTCCCAAGAGTTATTAGCTGTCTGGGTGCTGGAATTGTGGAATGAAGCCAACACAACCAGGCAGCATGCCCCATTTGGTGTTATGGAAGACAGCTGCATATCATGGCCCAAATAAAATATAAACACTGAAGGTTAATTTAAATTTTTGTCAAATTGTTCTGAACATGCATATGTGACTGGCAAACTGTTCCAAACACGTATTTTCTGAGCTACACTCTAGCAATGAATTATTACAGACAAATAAGGATAAAAATGTCAGTCCTACAGGCAGAGCTCCACCCGAAAAAATACCCTAGTGATACTGGGATCTGTACTGTTCTCTTTTCTCAAACAAGTTGCTACAGATACTTGGATCATTTTTACCTATTTCTTTGGCACTTACAATACGACGACTAACTCAGTCAAGAAAAAGAAGAAATCTCAAATTCAACCATTAAAGTTGCTGTCATGTCTCATTTTATCCACTTAGCCTTGCTCTTTTTTCTCATCTCATTTTCCACCCTCTACCATCCTTTCGTTATTGTTTGACCCTGTACACCTATGAGAAAATGGCCATAAGTACCTACCATAGCAAATCCAAGTTGGCCCCAAATAAATGCATCAATGAAGACCCAACAAAATGAAGATAGTAAAAAATATACAGAATTTTGTTTTTTTGTTTGGTCAATCTGTCACTGATCTTGAGTATGCAGTAATCTTTTAGGTTTATTTAATAACTATTCACAGGATATGCAGACAGTGCTTATTTTCAGAGACTAGCAGACTGCTTTAAAGCTGTATGTAATTAACTGTGAGCTGAAACTATTTTGCTTACTAGCAAGTATTTAACACTGCAACTTCTTGATAACAGTAGAGTGGTTTAAAACATCATGAGATAGGTGCATATTTCACCAAAGAAGTTACTAAGGGAATAGAAAAGGAATAGACTAATTTCAAACTACCTGGAAGAGAGGTGTTATGATATTCTGTATTTCATTGTAATGGTCTTTAAACACTGGCAATGTTCAGAAATCATCATAAAGTTTCTCTTACAATTATGTAGCAAGTGGCTCCAATTTTTCTTTATATTCCTGACTATTCTTGAATCACTTCTGCACCAGGGTTAAAAGGTGACACCCCCTTTTCTTTTTCAGCTAACTGAAGCTCATGCAGGCAAACTCTAAATCAGGTTTGCTCCTGGTAACAGGAATATACATGAACCCAGATACATGTTCCCAAAGCAGACAGATTCTTGCACTTAACTGCAAAGAGCCAAACTTATCACTTAATATGGAGAAGGGCCAACCTACAGAGCTTCCCCTTTCCAGGGCTAAAGCAATTCCTAGTGCCAGGAAATGTAATAGTTATGGATCAAAAACAAGCCTTTGAAAAAAAAATGCCTACAAAGCAAAATCTGTGCCAATTTTTGGGGGAGGATTTATTTCACTCTCTTAGCATCTCTGTCTTGTCATAAATGTCAAGTGCAATATAGCTGAATATATTGTTTTCTCCTCCAAAAAATGAAGTTGGGGCCACAGAGTTGTTGTGAGGATTAAGTGAGTAAAAGAGAGAATGCTTAATAAAATAAAAGTGCCTAGAAGCATTCTGGATCATAGCAGGTGTTTAATAAATGCCCGTTTCTTAGTTTCTTCCTTCTGTCCCTTTCTCTGTCTTTTCTCTTGTCTTCCTTTCCTCATTCTTTCCTTCCCTTCATCTAGCCTTCTTTGTTTCTAAAATAAAATTAATGATTTTGATCTTTAATTAGAAAATTGATAGAAACAAGCCTAATGTGTAAACTCTCAGATTTTCAATGATTTTCCTTTGTACTCAGTAGTTTTCAAGTATTTCAAGGATGCGCTGAAAGTTGATACTTAGGAAAAATTTTTATTAGTACATTTTTGAATAAACAAATCATATAAGACTGCTTTTGTTATAATTCTCTTTAAATACATTTTTAAAAACTCCAACTAATGAGGCAACTTTGTAGAGACATAATGTTCTATAATGAGAAGTATGGGGTAAAGTGGTTCACCAGATTAAAAAATTCAATTTCAGCGTTCTCTACTGAGGCCAATATAAAAGTTCTCTTTGTTCTTAGTTGTCAATCTTTTCACCCACAGATATCGGCATCTGTGTGGGAGAGAGGAAAAGATTTCTGCTATGTGCACCCCTCCCATGTCTCTTTGATTCTCCATTTAATTTCATTCCTTTCAGAATTTCATTCAGAATAAAAATTTATTAGAGCAAATGTAAAAGAGTAGAGTGTGCTGTACTCCTTAGTCATGCACAAGTTCTTCCTCCAACTGCTCTAAGGTAGCATTACATACATAATCCATTTAAGCTACGCCCCCCTTCCCAGGGCTGGAGGCCAGAACCGTAGAGTTCTGGGTGGGTTGCCTAAGGATGGTGGTGGGATGGAAATAGGCCTGTTGGCCTTCCAGCCCAGCTCGTCAGGAATTTTAAGCGTGACACAGGAGTCTCACAATAAATCATTTTCAGTTTCCTAATGAGTCTCAAGGGGTCATGGTAACACTCCTTCATCTGAGGGGTGCTCCATTCTTACTGCTCCTGGTCATTACCATTTCAGTCTGCCCAACGAAAACTGGACTTTAGCCAAACAGATGCAACAGTGTCAGGGAAGTTGACTCCCTTGCTCCTTCTCTGTTCTGAGATTTTTGTTCAGAGTAGTTGTTTCTTGCTCTCTTTTTCTCTTCCTAAACATATCACTTTTCGCATAGTTGAAGATTTTTCATTTAAGGAGTTTACGTATTCCATCAGGAATGCCACACCCAGTAGGTGCTGTCACTCTCGCAGTTCCTAAAGAGTCGTTTGCCCTGGAGATGATTTGCTTCCCCTTCACTTGGAGGGCTTAGGGATTCCCATGTCAATACCCGTCACAGTAGTGCCCCATTTGCCTCTAAGACTCTCTAACCCTTTCTCCAGGCTATTATAAATCACTCACATCATTTCAACCAATTAACAGCCCTCATTCCTCACTTACTGTTCACTGGCAAATGCATCTTTCCAAAGACAGCCATGATCCCATTTCCTTACAGGATAAAAACAAATGACTTTTATGGCTATTTCTCCCTATTTCAGCATGTTCCTCATGTTCCAATAAGGTCAAAGAGATACTACCACATGCAATTCTGAAGAAATCAGTTTTGCCTTCTCATTTTATTATCTTTACTCCTTCTTTGTTTTCTCTCCAGTTATATATTCAATCTACAAAACATCCAAGATGAAAGTGTGCTGATTTTACATCTCTTATAAAATGAAGCTTTAAAAGAAACTTTTGGCTTGGGTAAACAAATATCTAAAATTAACCAGCTTTAACAGAAGACATGGCGGTAAATTCCTAGCCTAACTGCAGATTAACCCATTATGAATGGGGCACTCTTTAATTCAAATTACAGAAACACTTACCATGCAGTGAGCAAACCATCATCTTGGATAAAACTATTTTCATTTATTATTTTTCATTTCAATTTTCAAGCAACCTTAAGGGATGTGGGCTTTACTTTGCAAATGCTAAACATTCTTCATCCTAATCAAAATAGCATTCTAATAAATATAATTAGTGAAATTCCAAGGTAGGCAAAGTGCTGTCTGAACTACCGGGAGGCAGTGTTTGAAAAACAGAGCCAGGGAGCGGATGGCACTGTCAGCGCAGAGTTGGGAAATCCACGCACAGCAGCTGAACCCTCTGTTCCCTGGGAGTCAGTAAAATCCGTTACGAACCCCGCCCCACTGTTGCTAAGCCCAGACATAGACACTGAAAACAGGCAGATGTTGAAATCAGCCCCCTCTTAACAGTATCTATAGTTTCAAACATCTCAGCAGCAGCCCCTTTGCATTTTGCCAGAATTAGTCACTTGCTTTCCAACTGCCAGAAAGACACATACCTTCTCGCTCTGGGGAGAAATCCTATGGATGTTCGACCACTGGCCAGTCCAGCAATGGCAGGACTGCCAGTCGTTTTAAAGAGAAAAGTCTCAGCTTGGTGAAGCTTGCTTCTTTGCAAGAAACAGAAACACGAAATAAGTCCAACCATTCAACAGAGCGGTACTGACAAGTCCCTCTGAAACCTTTACCACATTCACAAATCAAAAAGCTGCTCAGCTCAGTGTCACACAGCAGCAGCCCAGACTACTGTGACGTCAGTTACTCGGAGGCGGCCTTCAAGCCACCTCTTCCAACCAGAGCTTTGTAACTCTAGAGCAGCTCCTTCTCTGGGTAAACAACTCCAGGTCCAGGACATTTTTAGCTTTTAGAATGGAGCTCAGTATTTTCAAACTTGCCAAAAGAGCTGGTGGTAATATCACACAATGACAATGGCCAATTTTAGATTTCTTTTATTTGAAAACTTAACTCCCTTTTTTTATAGGCAAGTATTATCTCCTTGCGCACCTCTTTCTTTCCCCTTTTTGGCTAGCATCAAAATGTACTTTTCAGTGCTTTCAGGTTGGTGTCGGGATGTGGCAGAACATGAGTAACAATGCTACATATACGAGTGCAACAGATTTGTGAGTTGTACCCAATTTCTATCTTTAAGTAGAAATAGGACATATTTAAAGACCAATCTCATAGCTCCTTGTGATTCTAGCATCACTTCATGGCTGTCTCTAGAGCTATAGTGATGTCTGTGCTAGAGAAAATTAGAGCCCAAGGGGAAGGATGATACTTATTACCACAGAAAAAAGGCAACGAGATACCCACGTGCTTGTGCTCAATGGCGGTGTGCAGCAGCCCAAGTATAAGGAGAGGCTCCCTACAGCTCGACCACAGGGGTCTATCCCCAAAATGCTAGGACACCTTGCCCCCCCAACAACATTTCCAGGTTGTGTGAGAACATACATGCAGCTAATCATTTTGGTTTAATAGGCTAAAAGAAAGTGTCTATAACAATCTGGTGTCTCATTCACCAGCTAGTTAGATAACAGTTTAAATAAGAAGGTCTTATCCTCAAGTCTGTGTGGTTGTTCACTTTCACATTATTTTTGCCTGCTTCCAGATAAATATTTCATGAGGAACTAAAAAGCTTAATAATAGTAACCTGTTCACAGTAGGGCTTCCGCACATATAGGACAACTGAATGAAGTCAAGCCTTGTGTTTCGAAAACCTGGTATCGTAATTTCAAAAGCAGTAACAACAGTCCTAACAGTGATGACTCATGGAGACACAGCTCTCTGCATGGCTCTGTACTAAGTACTTTGAATACATCTTTCTTTTAGGTCACCCTCCCGGCAATGGTGTCTGTAGATACTACTATGCCAACCTTACCGGTAAGACCATGGCTCAGAGAGGTAAGGTACCTTGCCTAAATTCACAGAAATATGCTTGTGCAGAAGAGTGAGGGTTTGGAACCAGTTTCTCTGAGGATGGTGATATTTCATCACAGAGATCTTTGTTTCAATTCCACTGTCCCTACACCTGTGTGAACCTTGAGTTTCAGCCGCTCCCATAAAGGGTTAATTATATTTATTTTATGAGGTGGTTGTAAAAATATGAGAGCTACTTAAGTGCCAGACGTACAAGAAATGTTAGCTCCTTTCTACCTTCATCCTCATGAGGACAGGAGGAAGAGCTTGGTGTGTGGGGGTCGGGGGGTTCCCCAAAGCATCTGTTATCTAGTAACACTGCTGCCCCTCATCCACTCTTCCATACCAGGCCTCTTAATTTCCATTTGTCCTTTGTAAATCAGGTTAAGGCTGTTTTCTGAATCCTACTGGAACTTCAGAGAATACGTGGTTAAGTTACAGGAGAAAGTGTGCTGGGCTGCATACTGTGCACTACCACTCAACAGTACCGATGTCAGTGCCTCCTTCCCTGGATGTGCCAGTAATTCTTCACTGCATGCCCTTCATTTGTTTCTCGCCATGGTAAAGCTGACCTTAAATGATATACAAAATAAAAAACCACGGGAAGACTTTTGAGAAGAACTTCACACCTAGTCCACCACTCCTCATAGTATTTCCTGACCCCATCTAACTTTTCTTATGTGTTAGCTAAAATTTCCATGCCCTGTTTCACACTCAGAAGAAATGAAGTACCACAATTCAGTAATAGCATACAAAGGGGACAAACATTCAACACAGGTATTTTTAACCTTTCCACTAAAAACTTTGTTTTAAGAAAACTTTAAGGAGAAGTTCCTGTTGCTACGTACATACAATTAATGGACTCAAAAGGTTAATGCGGGTATACTCATTACCCCATTACTGAATACCCCACAGTGATATTCAGCCATCTTGAAGGGCCTGACATTTTCAGGCCAGTGTCTGAATGAATGGCTGAAAACCTTTTGGGAAAACTGCAGTATGTTTTACAATCTCAGCTACTTTTAAAACATTTAAATATTTAAGCCTTCAAATATAAAATTGATCCAAATTTTTGCTCTATGTATTGCAGAAAATTTGGAAAAGTTATTCATATTTGATGACACACTAATCCTATTTTGGCATATTACAAATATATAAAGAAGTGTATCTAATATTTGATGTAAAGCAAATGTAGAAACAACAGCTGCTGTCAAGAAACAAAAAAGAAAATCCCGGAGAGGATCTGAAAAGGTTTATATGAATAGTGATATTAAGCTACAAATTAAAATATTTTGAAAAGGGTGAAAGAAGAATACTGAGTGCATAAATATCACTAGCAGGTGTTTCCAAACTTACAGAACTTTCCAGCCAGAAAGACCTCTGAAATCATCTAGCCAACCTTCTCATTTTACAGCTGAGGAAAGAAGCCCTGAGGTTGAGTCATTTGCTCAAGGTCACAATGCCATGTACTAGCAATGCCAGGAATAGAATCCAGGTCTTCTCGTTCCTGGTGGAGTGTCTTGAAGTTTAAAATTCCAAGGCATTCAGAAAAAGAGAACAGAACCCCAGGATAAGAGTTTTGGGCGTGAGAGGCTGATTTCTGGCTTTGTCAAATTTTAGATTCAGTTTTCTTCTAAGTCCAAATGAGAAAGATGCTACTCCATCTTCCAAGGGTAACACAGGAGTCCTATAGCAGAGTATTTAACTTGATGACTATTTATTGAAAGAGGCTTTGTCTTTAAATAATATAAATCCTATGTTAAAATACAAAAACAAAAGGATTTTAACTTAGTGGTGAGAAAAAAATCTGGGAATAAACACACTAACTTTGCTTTTAGCATGCCAGTATACACTTAATTTATAGGTTTTTGTCTGAAGGATGATCCTGAAGCATCACAAAACAGTTACTGAATCACCTTAGGCTATGTCAACCCTGGCTGGGTATGAGACTGGGTGGCTTCTGAATTCTTGTTTGTGTAGTTTTTCAGTCCTTCCTTCCTTTACTCTTTCAACATATTTAGCAGTAGAAGGAGTATCATATTTCTATTTCCACTAACAAGGAGAAAGAAAAAATCAGAAAAGTGATGATTCTGAAAAAAGTGGACTCATTTTATGCGTATTAAAATTTAGAGGCTACTCTAGGTGACATAGTTAAAATAACCTTTCCTTCTAGAATCATGTACCTTAGGATACATGATCTCAATCGTGTAGTAAAACTCTCTTGCATCTTAAATTATCCTCCTTTTCGAGGGAAAAAATTTGGGCACTCCAATTAACATTTAACAAATTATCTGTAAGCACCAACTCTGTGCCAGGTGTCGAAGATTGGAAAGAGACAAGTCCTTGTCCTCAGCAAGCTCTGTCAACTCTGAAGACCCCTCAAGTATGACCTGTGGCATGACTGCCCATGTCCTGAGTACCCCGCTATCTTGGAATCAACTTATAAACAATGTGAAACCTCTCCTGGAAGTCCCCATAGCATTCTAGCAGGGGGACCACAGAGGAGGGTTACTCTCAGCCTTTGTTGTATACCACAATCACTCAGAGAATTATTTAACTGTTACTAAAGTTGTAACTTCCCCCACATGTCCTGAGACCATCCAGTGGTAATGGCTGGGTTTCTCAGTTTTTATAAAGTTCCACACCTGACTCTGCCAAATTCGGTCCTGTGTTATTTGAGTCCTAGAATGGCAGGGGTTGGACTCTGTGTTATAAAAAGTGGTGTAATTTTGATATAAGAATCTGGTTTGGGTTATAAAATTACGAGTCACACAGAGAGTGCTCATTATCCATGGAAGTTACATATTTAGAATGTTGGTTTTCAGTTCATGTGCTAGTTTCCCAATGCTGGATGTTTTCCCCCTAGAATCATAGGATGCTGGCTCTCTTTCCTGTGCTGGGGGCTGGTGACATGTCCACGGATTTTTTTGCCAAGAAGATCTGTCATGGGGCTGTGTACAGGAATTTCCAGATGACAGAAATATTCAAAAGAGTTTCAAAACTATGTTCTTTTAAAGAACTGATGCGTATTCTGAAGAAATAAAACATGTTAGAAATGTAGGCTATTTAAAATAAGTTTTTATTAGGGGTTTTCAAATTTGTTTTTAGAATCTCATTATATTGCTTCCAGTTGTGGGACTTGGGAGATGTTGATAATGTTGACAACAAAATGTAAATAATAAAGAGACGGTTCTTCAACTTGTATTCCAGAAATGAGCCTTGGGAATGACTGCTCACCACTAGAGGGCCACCCTGAGTCACTACTTTTAACTCGTTCAAGCAGTAAAGCAGGGATAGGAGGCCATTTAGTGAGCATAAATTGGAAGTCGCAGGAATTAATCCCCATTCCCCTCACTTCCCACCTCTGGGGAGTTTCTAGATCACCTATATATTCTACCAGAAATGATGGATTTATCACCATTGGTTTTGGCCCTCACACTATATTCTGTTATTTTTGTTGTTGCTATCAAAAATATTTTTAAAAGATTCCTTTAACTACATTCTTTGTTACCTATTTTGAACCCATCTGCTACTTGAATTAATCTCTCTACAAATACCAATACTTCTGTTTTGTATGAATAAACTGCATTCCTTCCAAAGTGAGGAGTTGCCAGAGACATGAGTTTCCCCTCCTGGAAGCTTTCTCACCTCAAGATGTGTGGGGCCCAAACTGGAGATGCTTGCCCCCCACCCCCATTATCTCCTTTGGCTGCTTCACCGTGGTTTTTTCCACATATGGAGTCTAAGCAGTTAGGGTGGAGTTATCTCCCTCCATACAGTGGCCCTGGTACACATTTCCTTTCAGACAAAGGAGCTCAGGTTGTTAGG